TTATACTTTTACTACCTCTACCACTATGGGGTTTGAATCGACAATTGTATCTCTTTGCTAATGTGGTATGGCAACTTGAACTGATGTATGCATGTACGAAGTTCTACGTTGTCACTGACTGATAAAATACTCAGAATTTAAATTTTTACTAGCCATCTGTGCTTTTGGTTGTACTTCGATGCTTGTATTGAGGAGAAACTGTTAGAAATTCATATTTTCAAAGGTTGTTTGACCATTTTGACTGTTGCCGACGAGCGAAAATTGGTTTTCTTTCATTATCTTCATTTTTTGCCGTTATGGTTGTATTTGTAGGTAAATATGGAATACAAGATCTATATCGACATTTAGTCCTTGCTCATTATTATATTTGAGGTGTCATGATGAGTAACTTAACACCTAAAATAGCGTGTTGTGATCATTCATGGACTAGTCGTATTCTTATATTCTTCATACTAAGTAACGCTAGCCTCTACAGAAACAACAAAAACCATTTAACAAACATCATTTGTTTAGTCAAATGGCTGCAGCGAATTGGTACACTTGAATAAATGTAATAGTTGTTTTTCTAGGTGTCTCCCGGCTTCCAATTTTGGGGAAAATTTGACCCATTTTGGAGAAGCCGCTATAATGAACTTTGGGGAAATTCCCCTTTGACCTTGGTCAAGGTCACTTGACTCTGGGGATTTCCTCAGAATTCCCCAAACTTGGGAGCTCGGGCTGTATTTTAACTGTTATTTGTTTTTATCTCAAACTGATGGTCTGTGCTGTTGTCTATTTAAAAGTGTTTATTAGCTGCAATGTGTGGAATTTATTGTACCACTCACAAACTTAGGTAACGTCAGATTACAAATTAGATCCATTTCTACTATATGGAGATTTGTGTCTGTGTTATTTTAATTTCAGATACATATAAAACGACTTATTTTTGTGTAATAAAACAAGAATAGATTCATCTGCATTTTGCGATAGATTTGTAGTTGTATTAAGTCTGCATTCAGGATTCCAGTTAGGAATACGATAAAACAATCTCGTGATGCTCACAGATGCATTATATTTTAACATTCGTGGTGCTTTGATTACGCTTCAGTTTGTTATGTTACTGAAAGTGAGCAAAAACAGATATGACACGTGAGATTTATCGAACGAAATGACAGTATAGAAAGCATGTGTTCTCAGCGTAAGTTAAAATGTACTCACATTTAGATGATGGGAGAAAATTGTAAACCTCTGCCATTTCGAATTTGGCTTACTCATATCTTTTTCGTTTTCACTATTTTCATTATCCATGTAAGTCATTATGAGTATCAGTGATTTGTGTGAATTCCTATACTTAGATTAGCAAACTTGAGTCTTCATTCATTGATGAATCATCTGTTCCCACCACAATGTCTACCGTCCCCTCAGCGGTTGGTTCGGCTGTGATCTTGAGTCCAACACTATTATCAACTGGCCCCAGTGGTTTAACCAACATACCTTCACGATCCCTGGCTGGCAGACAGTATGCTGTAGTTAACGGCTCAAATGATATACAAAACAATAATGTTCATTCCGTATCGACTCCAGATATCAAAGTAGCAAATGCAGGAATGACTACCCTAGGTACCCCTGTATCTTCTTCTTTAGGGACTACAATTATTTTGCCAATATCAACTCCTGTAAGTCTGAGCATGGATTTAAAGTGCTTCCATACCTCGAATGTCTTTTACTGTTGAGTGATTTATTTTTTTTTAAATAATTGATATTAGTTACACAGTACTTTTTCATAACTGTTTATCCGTAATAATTTGTTCATTTGTTTATCATTATTAACTTATTTGCGAGGTACAGGATTATGCACTCTGCTTTGAGTTATACTAAGTTTCATGGTTAATGATATTTTCCAGTCTGTCATGCCGAAATAGGTGGACGGATTCCTAAGCCTGCAACCTAATGACAGGAAACCGAACACCTTAAGCAATGAGCGACCATCCCACCGTGTATTTGTGTTGTACTAGTTACATGTGTATGACATAATAGAATACCGCACTCTTTAAAACGAGATGTACATTACAAGCGATATTCTGCATTTATCAAATAGTACCTAGATGATATTTAAGTAAGTAGTTTTTCAAACTATGCAGAATAGCTTGTTCAAAGTACTTATCACCCAGTGATTCTCGTTCCTCGTATGGGTATATGTGCAGTTAAGTAGCGTAATGTTGTACACAATTATCCATCAATATGTTCAGATTAGTTATAGCAAGCTTTGGAATCAGTAAGGATAGCCGTGGAATAAGCCACGAGACTTCATTATCAAGAATCACCTCAGAAAGATGGTATTTATCTCCTGCAATCACAGGACTGTGATTCTAAGTATATTTTGCATCAACGTAACCTTACAAAAACTATAGCTCTCCCTTTTCAATCCGATTTCTCAGTTATTCTTTGCCCTCAACCATTTTCTTGAAAAAATGTTACCCTTAATTAAAATCACAGTTGTTTCACGTGTTATATTCTCAATACTCAACTGGCTATCCGTAATCTTCTCTTTGTACTAATTGCTTGTTGTTTAATTAGTATTTTCGCCAGTGATCACTTCGTTGTATATATTTATGTTCATTCAATTTCCTAGTTGGCCTTCGTTAGTGGGCCTCAAACGTCAGTCTCGCTGGCCGACCAATCGACGGATTCAGTTTCTTGATTCTATGATAAGTTCCGTTGGACGCACACTTGTAGTTTCTCAATGTACGTGTTTATCTACTTGCTTCCTCTGTTTATCTTGTCAAATATATTTATACATACGAATGCTTAATCATTTGATTATTTCCTTGTATCATGTATTCTCACTTAGAAATTGACTTTTCCAACTGATAATCGTAATGCAAACAACAGATCTTAAGTTTGTTTTCCCTGTTCATAAACGCTATTAATCTTCATTTTTCTACTTTTCAATCTAATTTTAAGGTGGAAATAAGATCAATGAATTTACATTTTCTTTTCGTATATATATAATCCTATCTAGAATTGTATTGTCTTCAAGTTCCTGTTTACTACATATATTATTATCATAGTAAAATTGTATTTTTAATTGCATCTCCAGTTACCAATTTTGTTTTATGAACTATTAATTCTCTATCACTGCTGTGAAAAGCTTTTATGCTTCCACATTCTGTTTGTAATTCATCCTCATGTTTCATATTCCACTCATCATTATCAAGCGATCATACTATTTTTCTCTCTATCGTTTAATAATACTTTCCTAAGAATAAACCAAGTTAAGATGTTTTTCATTTATGTATTAGAATTTCATTTTTCCATTACTGTTTATTTGTAATTTATACTAAACAATGACGTTTGTATACTCGCAGATTGATTCTGCTTGATTTTACTTCATACAAAAATTAACGATTCTGTTATACCATGTATTGCGCTTTTTCTACGTTTAACCCTCATTCTAGACAGAATCATAAGCTTAAGCTCCAACGCGTCTGTGCTATGAAAGTTCCTCCTATAGTGGGAAAATCCAGCCTCCTTACCTTTTGAGATTTTTCGCAATTGTTTTGTTTGTAATCTCAGTCTTCTTCACAAGATGTAAACCGCTTAAATCATTCCCCTGATAATTTACATTATTGTTGGCTCAAAGCGTTTGACTCGGCCGGATGTGTAGAAAGTGGTGCATCTAATTTCACATCCTAGATAACTAAACATAATATCAATACTTCGATATCACTGTGACAATAATGCGATTTTGGTTACCTTTTGGATAACTAAGTAAAAGCGCCTTGTGAATGACCTAGATTCATCTTGATTAACGTATGAGTTTACCAGTTAAAGTACAATAAATCTAAGGTAATGTTCAGTTTAAAATAGTGTTCACTTTATATTACTTCACATCACGGACCAAAAAGTTAAGAATCGGGTTGTTGTAATCTACTTAAACCACTATAAAATATATTTATTAACAGTGCCGGATTAATGATCCAATCATATGAATAAACCGATATCGAAATCAAAACTGCCGGCCAGAAAAATAAGTTTTCCGTGTAAAAACATAACATGGTTTTGTACAAAATCTCAATCATAAAGCAGATATGCTAAGATGTCTTAAACGATTGAAGGATGAAAATTTTGTGAGTAGTGAGTGCGCTATCTAATGAACTAAGGACCGACTGTTTTGTCTAATTTTCAACCATCATTTCACAACGTCACTGACACATTTAAACTTGTACGTTTGATATGAACACCATTCACAGGGTGATGTGAATACACTTATAATTGCGTACATACAGTTATCTTCAGTGGCATTTTTTCAGGAATCATGTATCCAAGCCGTTGAATAAACAATAATGCAACCCAATCACCCACAAGGTTTTTTGCTCAACATTGAGTGAAATATTTGTGTGAGTCATTTCAGTATTGCCCGAGCAAAGTTGGATTATGTGAGAACACCGCTTATGATACAACTCGTCGAAGTCACTATGCTATATCTTTAGATTATCACAAGGTGAATATTGTGGTTTATTCGATGTTTACATATCTATGGCAATGAGTCATCACTTTGTATTGTCTGTCTCAGATCCTCAAATGTGTGAAGTAAACAGCATTCAACAAACTCACTAGTTGTAGAGGAGAATTTTGAAGCATATAATATGTGTTCCGATTCGTATTCAATATTCAAAATAAACGAGCTTATTGGAGTGATTCCCTAGTAGGACTTTATGCTGTAAATAAACCAAAGTAGGATTTAGGAGAAGCTGTGTGTTGGTGAACAGTCATTTCTCTAAGTTGGATTAATATCGAATGGTGATATTTGAAATCTCATGCAAATAACACCAGTGGCCCTTGAACTCATTTCTCTGTTTCACTAGAAAGCCTTGACGTATTTCAACCACTTGGAGCTCCTTTTTTCATCAAAGGAACTACTAGGCAAGTAAGCCAAATATTGTCCTTTGACTTAACAATATCATTAAGATAGAATAACAACCATTCAAAATTCCATATTGCGAAAATGGTTTCAGATTTAGGCTGATTCCGGTCTTGACTTCGTCAATAAGTGACCGTAATCTCAAAGAGTATATTTAGCCAATGGCAGTTTTTTGTTATATCTGATTTAGATTTATAAAAAGGGCCAAAAATTTCGATTGGTGAAACACATGTCTCACTATCCTGGTCGGTATTTATTAGAAGCGCATTTTCAGTATAAGAAGTGGAAACAGTCTAACATCGGATAATAGAAATGAATACGACACTAACAAATAGTATCCACCTCATACTAAATCAATGTTCAACAATTTTTTAAAGATAACCATATGAAAATTTGGTTTACACACTACGTGTATGAAGAAATAATGTTCTATTCAATTGTACCATATTTTTGATACGTTGTTTGTGGATTTTCTATCTTCCTTATCTGGAAAGTTTGCTTCCCATCCTCACTGATCTCTTCGCTTAAATCAAATTCATCATTGTCATAACACTGTTGCTCCTTCGATTCTTTAACGAGCATGAAACCTCGACCACCTAATTTAGCGCTTATATTCACTCGTATGAAATAGATTATATAAAGTGTGGCCTATTAAATAAAAAAGAAAAAATCACATAATTAAATGAATTCATCTCTAACAATGTCATACAAGGAATCTACCGTACATAATACTAACTTCAAATTGATACACTTCAATAATGGAACTAAAATACATACCCAAGCCTAAATCATCTAAATATAACACTTAGAACATTTTGAAAGACCATGAGAGGGACTTATATAGCTCCTATTTTTTTGCAACTCCTTAATATTAACGTTTATGTAACACCTTGATAAATCAAAATCGAAGTTAATTATCATGCTAATCTTCCACTTCCGTTCATAATAACACAGCTAAATATTTTCGGTATTGATCAGGCGGTTATGATAATTAGAAGTATTTGGACTGATCTACTAACTAAAAATTTCCGAAATAGTGCAATTTAAGGCATGTAGAACTAGATGGGCACAAATGGACGTATTACATTTGGTATTCGTCGTAAGCGCGCAACCATGTATGAAGGAGTCAAATACCACAGTGGTGTAGAAGTCCTTTATGGTTTACACTAAACAAGACCCTCGAAAATCCTTATCAAACATAATCCAAAATTTCATAGCCATTTCAAAAACATAAGTTGCGTAACACTTTTGACCTAATTTCAGAAGATCATTTATTTGTCTAAACAACACCTTATCATACAACACTTAATATCAGAAAGTGAAAATTTCATCAAGAAATAATGAGAATTATTTAGACAGTATCCACATTCAAATTCATACCTCAAAATAAAACTGAAAAGTTACATTATTATTAGTTTGAGTGATTTGTCATCAAGGTTTGGTCGACTGATCAGCACTGTTGTGATATTGAAGTTGCACAAACGTTTGCGTAATATTTTCGTAAACACAAGTGGATGATTTTATTTACACTATATACAGGTAGTGAACAAACCAAGTAGTCATTCTGTTCTTATGATAGAGCTAACAAGAAAAGTTGATTAGTTTAAGCAATTTACAACTATTTATTCTAGTAAGTACTACACAAATTTCTGATATTCATGCATAACCCCATTGACAAAATTATATCATGTCAATAAAATTCTACTTCAAGTGTGATATAATAGCATTTATTGTCAAAATGTGACAATAAGTTATCATAGTCAACAAAAATAATCGAACACGTTTGACTTCCTCATAAAGTCTCTGAGAATAAATTCGTCAAACCTATTAACGAAACGAATCACTTAAATAACTAAGAATAGTAAACATTACTGATTGTTATGATCTCTAAGCTAGATCGACTGATCATAAAGCCATATTATCCATCAAATTGAACACGTTTTCAGATCTAACATTATTATAAAAATCAAACTCACATGACATAAAATAACAGACATCAGAGCACTAAAGCAGGCTAGTATTGTTGATTGTGGTTTACTCCAGTCAATGGAAGGATAAATTTGTCCTTTATTATGAGGACCTGCACCACCGAGTAACCAAAACAAATATGTGAATAAACTATATATCACACCGAGTAGGCAAGGATAAATAACATGTATCATTCGCATCGGAATAGCACAAAGGCATGTGTCAATTACGACCAAGACTGAAGTCAATGAATGTTTAACTCGACTCTGCCAACTTGCGAATACATCTGTAAATCAAATATACAAAGTCAAAATGAAAATTCACCTCCAACGAGACTTATGTATGTTAGTGAAAATCTAGTTATTTCCGTGACCCAAAGAGACATTACGTTGCAAATTGACGAAATTACAGACAGCAAAGGAATCGGTTAATTTTATACTCGAATGATGTTATTAATTGTATCAGTTAAATTTCTGATGATTTCTATACAGACTGATTTTCGCTCATATTGCAGGCAGTCGAATAATAGAAATTATTGAGGATACTTGATTTAGGTTTACTTTAAACACACTGTCTGTCAGACTATCATGCCGACAGAACTCCAGTTAGCCTTCTGTTATATTCCGACGAGAGTTACGAACGGTAACTCTTGAGAACCATTGATGGACAAATACGATACATATATATTTACTGTATAAATGCTTTATTGGTTTATTTCGACCCATAGACTATTATTATAGGATTAACTGTTCTTGAGTTATGCCCGATCTATTAATTACAGTCTCCTACATTCACAACCACTTTGGGCTAGATCTTGTACAAATGTTGTTTTCTATTTTATGGTACGCTGTGATCTGTTTGGTTTGTATATAAACCCAGTATGTTTAAAATACATGATTCATATCGCGCAGGCTGAGATTTGTGTTCTTGACTTAACAGGCAGAGCTAGACAGGAAGGAGGACCGATAAAGACTCTGGGCGGTTTTATGTATCATTGGTCCGGTCGATAATTCTCTGTTCTCTAATTGGCCGTATCATTACACTATATATTAATATAACACAATGCCACGAGCTATAACACCTTGTTTCAAATTAAGCAGTTTTATAATGTCACACACGAATTTGTGGGTTCTCATCTTTTTCACTTACCTGTTTCACATCTTTCTGTATCTAAGAATATCTGAAAACATCCGCAACTATGGGTTGTACAAATCCTTATCAGTATGATTATGTGTCAACTGAACAATAACAGAACTAAGTCATTCAAACTTATTATTAACCCTAATTATTGCGTTCCTATGAGGCGACGGTTATCAAGAGACCAGAAATGAATCTGTGGCTTGATGAACAACCAGTTGTTAGTCTACAGACATTTCGATATCATTTCGTCTTCTTGATGATACAATAGCACAACTTCACGGCTCCCTATGCCCTATGATCTGACTACTTAAAATTCTTATAAGATTCCCATTCTTTCCATCATTTGAGATTTTGCAATTCTATTACTTTCTTAACAATGCATACATAACACATAGTCACAGTTCCGTAACTTCAAAGGATTCTTGTCTCTACCTTCTGTCCAACCATCTTGTTTTCTGGAATGTTCATCTAATAAATCTACATAAAATAACCGTGGAATTATATTTTAACAAATAAGGTCATTTCGAATAGAAGTGAGTAAATTAAAGCCCAGTGACTTTTATCATAAAACGGAATATCATTAGTCATGAATCAGTTTATCATGCTCATTTTCAAGTTCAAATCAATGTCCTCATTTACTTCCCTCGTTGTGACCTGTCCGGATATTGAAGCAAAGCAATCCTGAAGCAGTGTATCAGATTTAGTGGGAGAGAAATTCAATTCAGTGATTGCTTTATGATTACATAAGGCCATCATAGACTATCCGTTTTTTTAGCATCTTCACCAAGCAAAATATAACATTAGCCAGTACTCAGTGAACAAAAATTAGATAAAATAAATTAATAAAGCATGCTAAATAGGTTGGAGAAAGTGGATGAAACATTGAAGGTCACGTCATTTATCTCACAAAAATCATCTAAAATACTTGGTTTTCCTGTTAACATATTGATAATGACCCTTCAAGTTCGAGAATTATCAGAAATATTAAAGTATTTGCGGTTGATAACAGTGAGGTTCATGATGATACGTACGTTATGAATGCTATAGAAGACAAAATTTCAGATGAGTTTTACAAATCTAGAGAACCTTCATCCGAATAGTCACTTAACTTCACTTAATTTATTAAACTGATGAAGACAGTCGTTATTCTATACAAACTAAGGGATTTATATAAATAATTCCTAAAATTTGTGCGGTATAACAATACGTATATGTTTTAGCAAATTTCTATAAATATCAAAATCAGTAGATTTTGAACCAGGAAGAATATTTAGTATCCCCGACATAAAAAGATAGAAAATTACACCTATTTGAATTTTCAGTCAGCCAAATAATAGGTTCTGAAACTTGTGATTATGTTGTTTATTTAACCTATTACTACAGTTTTATTTTCACCCTTGGTGTTTAATAGATGTACTTTTTTCATGATATTTAAACTCGGATCATAGTGAAATAAGCTTTCAATTAAGTTAACCGTCAGTTTTAATCAGTATATCACTACATCCCCATTGTTATATAAAGTTGCAATTCTTCAAGTAACATTCAGTTTTTACATATATGCATACACATTGAAGAAAGGTTTAAGATTGTTTTCATTGAAGAGTAACTAACTAAAAAGCCATTCAAAAATACAGGGTACAAACGGTTCCGATGTTCTAATTCCACATCATTTGTTAGTGTTCAGTCACCCAAAAGTTGTTAAAGAAAAACTGATCCTCAACAGTTGTTTAGTTAATTTCAGTTCTTTATCGGAACTAAATTCAACTTTTACAAGGTCTGGACTGGATAAGTTAAATAAAAATTTATTAATAAATAAATAGACTCGTTGAAACGTTAAATAATTATCATTTAGCTTACTCAATGGAATGGTCGACAATGAAAACCAATATATGACAGAAACCACAAGTATACATGTTGATGATAAATTATACAGAAACCATATCAATTGATAATATCTTGGTTCATTGTTAGGATCTATGTGTAACCGTAAATCAGTGGAAATTAGTGAAAATTCAGTTTGTAGAATACATTAATTTTATAGTTCTTTACTCAAAAATACACCGATAACTAGAGTTAGGGTTAATAAAATATATTGTAATTAAGAAATACCACGATTTCCACTTTATTCTATCTGGTCGATATTCACATATACCTATCATATGTAAACTCTATTGACTGTATGCTTCACTAGAAAAGTGTTCTACCTAAAATCAACGTTCAAGGTTCATGTCATTGAGTGGTTGATTAAGAGGCAAAGAATCCGCAAAAACTGTTCGCTTTGACTCTAGTTTTCATCGTGAAGTAACATCTCAGAAGAACCATTAAAAACCGGAGAGTATTGAGTAATTGTTGCATATTAACATGAGATTCATAGAAAGTATGCACCCGCTACCATAACACGGCGTCGCACTGGCAGCTTCAGTCCTCACTGGAAGTTCAATTTGTCTAGACCAGTAAGTCAGAATTCAATGATTCTCTAATATCTCAATTTTACTGAAGTTGGACATGTGAGGCATGAGTAGTCCGAAAAAAATGTGTCTCCCAGAAAATCTTCAATTCGATTCTGTGAGGAATCCATGGAGTAAAAATTGTTGAGTTGTCGCAAATAATGATATATTAGCTACACAAAAATCCATTGGTTTTACTTATCCTTCGGCTAAATTCTGCTTTTAGCACAGAGGTTTGTGAAGATTATTCAACATTCCTGATGTCCCGAACAGACGCAAGTTAGAAATCTACTGAAAACCAAGAGCGGTTGGACAAGTTTCTGGAAGTTCAATCGTGCTCCTCCTCAAAATCGCCAGGTGGAATCGAATCCATGACCTTCGGTCAAGAGTTCGATGGCTTGATCTCTAGATCATTGAGGTGACGTCCAATGCTTTGATTGTCTAACGTTATCGAGCGACCATATTCAATTGTATTCGGCGGTTGATGATCTCTGTTACAAAAACTTACCTTGGGCTCAACGCTGTGTTTTGCACTGAGCAGATTATAACGGTCAATGTTCTCATTTACAGGTTATCGTTTACATATTCATAACGATGACAGTTCAAAAACAACCGATAATTTTTGCGTACACGTTAACTGGACAACTGATTTAGTTGATACGATTAATTTAATTTGTACGAATGCCGAAAATGACGTGAAGCTATAAAACAAACATTTATAGAAAATCGTTATTTTCTAAAAATCATGCATTGAAATGAAGATTACAGCATGATAAGACCAACTACACTTATGACACTCAAAACACTGTCAATATCACCCTGTCATTCAGATGTCAGTGAAATGACCTTGTACTGAAACAAATATCTCAGTCATTTCCAAGTAAAACGCATTATACAACGAAAGTCATTATTGCAGAAATAAATTGCATACTTCCACAAAAGTCAAAACCTTGTGTAACATTTCATTGAGTTTATTAATTTACATGTGTATGGGTACATTGATTTGTAGAAGTAACAGTGACTTGCATGTGACATTGCCTGAAGATGTTGAAACAAACAAAATAAAATAGTCTGGCAAGAAAAGATGGCAATCGACTACTTATTTCAGATTCAGTGATTTGTGTTAACACTGTAAGTTAATAATATTGATCCGTGTTCCCAATATAATGATTATTTATGATTATTTTGTCCAAATTAGTGAAATGAATATAAACGTCATTTGAAAATCTAATAAAGCTTTTACTTCCCTTACACAAAATGAGGATATTTTATCTTGATATCTGATAACGAGATTGATCTACTGGAAGTTATCAATATTTAAGTACTTTCGCTACCTTAAACCAGTTTCATTATCAATTCATGAAAATGTTTTTCAACTTTGATGATCGAAAAAGTTCATTAAACACTAATTACATAAACTTTTATAATTTACAACGTCTCCAAGCCTTATAAGATATTTTCTCTCAGAACTCTTCTGTTTGTTTTCTGTTTTTGTTTTTTTGTTTGAAACTATTTGGTTTAAGTTGCTATAACTTACATTGCTGATGGATGGAAGGTAGTTAAATTGCAACATTCATAAAAGTTGACTTTTATAAATATATGATTTAAATGTAATCTAATTGTATAAATAGAAGTACTTACATTTCATGTTGTAAATCAAGCAGTAGATAGTTAGTGATATATGAACTATGGTAAGTATCAGAAATGCCCAATTTGTACCATATGTGATCCAACTATATTCAGAATGATCGAAATGTCTGATTGTTTCTATAACAATATCGTATATGATCCATACCAACAAAAGAATTGCCAGAGATACACGATATGTTGTGAAATATTTCGGTGTGAAACACATCCACTGGAAAAATTTTATGAATATAAATGTTGATATTATCAAGTGACTAGATGAGTTGGTAAAAAATTAAAAGTTTTCTGGTAAATTTGCTTGTGAATTTTGAAACGTTCGTTTATTTACTGTTACTTTATTGATATTTCATGTAATGCTCAATATAAACAGCATTTCAAATCAATTATATTTTCCACCTTTTAAATCACGAACAATCTTAGCTAGATCACCGTTAAAGACCTGGAAGAACTAGACGGCCGTTTCGTGCTAGTACTCAGCAATCTGTTTCCATGATTCTTTATACAGGTATCAAACCCAGAACCTTCGGTTTAGCGTTCGAACGCCAAAAACTCTATACGACTAAGTTGGCATCCAACACTGCTAATGTTTAACTTTTCACTGTATAAAAAGTAGTCGCTCACTTAATTATACATGATGTTAAGAATTATCCAAAACAACATGAAATAGTGTGATGAGAATTTTATTGGAATGACAAAAAAATAATTTTCGCAAAACGCTACCAAAGATTTATGATGACAATACTTGTATTCACATCTACAAACGTAAAACCAAATGGATTCTTATTTATTGTAAAGTTAAATACAACTAAATAAACGTTGCATATACGAAGTTGAGCATCTTAAAAACTCTCAATAAAAGCACGTGTACTATGAAAACTAGAGGGTCTCAGCTTTTGAAAAAGGTATGGTGCTCAGTAACATGTTTCAAGTTTCTTCAGAAATTTTTATAAAATCATGATCGCAAAAAATAATCATGATTGGGATTTTCTTACTAGATATTGGGAGTGTTATTTGGCTTTAAGAATTAGTTTAACTGAGTTCGTTAGAATAATATATAAATAATCTTCTGATATGCCTTTACTGCATGTCATTTATCGCTAATTACTTAAAACAGTTTGCCTCCTTGTTAGATTTAGATGATGCAATCAAAAGACGAAATTTATCTGAACTACATAATATATTAGAGCACTATATTTTCATGTGATCGCGCATTTACTTGACAAGGCATTTATATATGAAAAATAGCTCGTTGATTCTATAGTTCTATAAAACTGAGAGGCATATTAACTTTTCAACATTTCAAAGCACAAAAGCAATTGCGAAATAATCCTGAGATTGTTCTTTCTAAACCTACTCAAGGGTCATGGTTAATTATACTGAATAAACGTGATTATAAAAGTAGGATGTTATCCAATTTCAGTGGTAAAACTAAATTTATGTCTTATGTTGAATTGGAAAAAGTCTATAAATTCTAGAGAAAAATGAATTCAAACTTTATGAAACTACTATACGTGAATAGTGTTAATAAAGGGGATCTAATCTCTCATATCCTATCGGCTTTAAATATTCCAATTTATATGAATTGTCTAAAATTGATAAAACTAACAATCCACTACATCCACGAGTTTATCCACGAGTTGATCTCGTTAAGTGGTTGACGAAATGACTAAACCCTATTGAAAGGCATTTATGTAAATAATCAATACAAAATTCTTTTAGTTGATTGATTAATTATGTGACTTCAAAATCAGGAAAAACATAACGTATCTGTTTGGAGAGAGTTCACTGTTCATTAAAGTACCATTGCAAAATCTCATACTGCCCATATAAAAATATTTCCAAAACTTTTTTACTTTTATTCAGAGATAAAGTCAAATTCATATTTGGCTAATTCATTGAAAACTACGTTTGTTTAAAAGCATGTTCAATATGATTTACCATATCTGTACAAATGATACTATCGAAGATGAGGTGAAGCTATTAAACAAACATTTATAGAAAATCGTTATTTTCTAAAAATCATGCATTGAAATGAAGATTACAGCATGATAAGACCAACTACACTTATGACACTCAAAACACTGTCAATATCACCCTGTCATTCAGATGTCAGTGAAATGACCTTGTACTGAAACAAATATCTCAGTCATTTCCAAGTAAAACGCATTATACAACGAAAGTCATTATTGCAGAAATAAATTGCATACTTCCACAAAAGTCAAAACCTTGTGTAACATTTCATTGAGTTTATTAATTTACATGTGTATGGGTACATTGATTTGTAGAAGTAACAGTGACTTGCATGTGACATTGCCTGAAGATGTTAGTCTGGCAAGAAAAGATAGCAATCATCTATCTTACTCTACTGCAAAACACGTAACTGAAATAGTTCATAAGACTGATATAAATAGCCTTCTTGGTTTTTGAAAAACACTGTGTGGATACGTACATAATTAGAAATAATGACTTGCACATTAGGTTATCTAAATATGGACTAAAAGGGATGTAGAACTAAACAAAATCAAATATCCTAATACACACAATGAAAGGAGTGAATGAACTTAACCTCGTTGTCAACATTATGGCTGAAATGCGATAGCATACGAAGTGAAAGGTACTGGGTAAATCGATCCAGAAAGTCCTAAACAGTACAAAATATGTACCTCGAATTCCACCACTGGACAAAGTTCGTTTATTCTGCATAATTTCGTAAGATTGATGTGAACACACTCTTCGTTGTAATCAATAAATCTTGTTTACGGAAACTAGTTATACTCGTTGAAACCTTAGCTCTACGGATGTTCAAATCTCCTTCTCGTATTCAAAAACTATGTGTGCTTACACTAAATCTACATTGGTAATATAGATTTATTATCCAGAATGACTTCATTTACACTGTTATTATCAGTATCTTTCTTTTTCTCTTATCTTATTAATGTTTTTCTATGTAAAAATGTTATTAATTTGTTCGAAACACACGCCGCTCATATATTATATGGTTTTATTAATCTTTGTCCTCTAATAGCATTATATAATTTCTAATTAATTTTTCCCACTGCGGTTGCATTACTAATGTTAGTTTTATATAAAAGGATTCAGTCAACTAAATAATATTCGCTCAAATAAAATTATGATTTTTGATGAAATTACTTTCTTTACCACACTGGCACTTCATTAAACTCAGTTAAGAAAAACAGACTAACTAATATATCTTATAGCTAATAACCACAACAGGAGAATCATTCGAATATATCAGGAAACCAGATTTAAAACAGCATCATTTTGCGTACACATGTTCACTTACTCTTCAGTAGACAAGTAAGTATTTCACTCACAAAGTAACATTCTCTTCATTAAGAAGTAATAAATCAACCTTATAATATCATGGTCTCAACTACAATCACGCAGTCACTGTACATCGTTCATTATTGTCTATGTAACAAATATGACAGAAAGACGTATTCGAAATAGTAAGGTATCGCTTGATTAGCAAAAGGAAGCACAGCAGCTTTCAATCCTATCCGTATTTAAAATCATACATTCACACAGTACACTCTCATTAAATATAAGTGAGTAGCAATATTATGCACCAAACTCGCGCTATCATAAATACATTTTACGCATTATTGTTAATTACATTACATGAGTTTCATTCATTTTATACCAGAACATTCAGAAATGTTGGCAATTTGTTAAGCGTAAAAATGGATTTCAGGTAGAATTATCATGTGAAGTTAGTGATATGATTCCTTGTAACGTTCCTCTAGTCTAAGTGCGATACAGTGATAAAGTATTCATTGCCAAATGTCATGGTAGTGCATCTAGTACGAATATACATGTTTGAAAACGAAGTAGTTTCAATCGTCAACAACAGGAGGCTGAGACCTGTGTTAATCCTGACAACAGAAGCAGATCTACTAATTCAAACGTCCTTACGGTTTCCCCAATTGCAACTCACAATGCGAAACAACATACAATGATTTACATGTGTACAACAGAACTAGTCTTTTGAAAATCACTTCTGAAGTGTCTTATTTGACAGTATGGCTACTTATTCTTGAATTTATCTCTCCCTTCTACCACTGGATATGTCAACTATTTTTCAAGAATTGTTCAGCAATATTTTCATATTCATTAATCTTCCTCCACTGAAAATTTATAATTCGACTCTATTCAGTATTCGTCATACGGTTGTTATTCTGTTATTGTATGAGACTGCAATGTTGTCAATGGGTCATGCATTAACGAACTCAAGATTGTAGAGTGGTGCAATCATTGGCTACTACTCTTTGTTGTGTTGCACAACCCTATTGTACAACTCGATTCTAATCGACAGAGGTTTGATCTTATAGAGTCGGTAGTATTGTTGTTGATTCTTAGTTGGTTGACATTTGTAGTTAGTAACTATAATTCACTGAGTGCTACGACATTGTATGACAGCATCTTTTGACTGTATGGTGACCGAGAGTCATGAAAATGATTTAGAAATCTGAAGAACAACCTGAAATCACAGTCAATAAATTTTCACATCGACAATAGATCGATCTGTTCACTTCAATTAAAGCGTCTATCATCTGACCTGGAACAAATGAATTGTAGGATTTTTCAAAAATCAGTTTGTACTTGTTGATGTGTGAGCATGTAAACAAACAGATCTGATTATGTTCAACTCAATAATTGTTTAAGTAATCTATATGTGATATTTTGAACAATCATATTGTACATGATTTTGTTTTAACTATAATATTTGGATAATGAATTGTTGCTTTAAACACAGGAAGATTGTATTAGAGATTAATGAGATGTGAAGAAACCCAAACAACAAAAATGAATAGTCTAAATATACTGATTAGTTCATTTGTTATGTTCTTTGTTTGATGAATGCAGATTAAAAGTAATGAATATCATTCATTAACTCGAAATAATCACCTAAATTTTATGTCAGCAATATTGTTAGTCGTAAAGCCTATTTGTCAGTTTAAACTCATGATTACAACTAAAATAATGAAAATTAATAATACAGTTATCATGAGTGCTGTTAAAGGTATTAGGGCACTTATAATTTCACAGTCGCCCACACCGTTGAAGAGTTCTTCTAGAGGTACCTGTAAAGAAAATTGGTTTAGTGGTAGTCTTAGTAACCATAGAGTGTGACTGCAGTTTCCAAGGTACAACTGCTTGAGGTCGGTCACACACGACTGTTTTGTGAGTAATTTTCGTGTTTGCTCCGTACGTGTTGAGACCTTACCGCCGGAGACGGATATCCGTGGGATAATGCGAGGTGTGTATTTTTAGGGTCGACTATTTCTAACCCCACCCATCCTTGTGGCAAGGCAGCATCGCTGTTAAACTGGTTGTCCGAAGGAAAAATCTTACTGCCGTTACACTTCTGTACAGTCAGCAGTACGACTTCACCCTCGAACCTTGGGTTTGTTGCTTTTAATCTTACTGCTCTTCAACTGACCTGTCTGTCATGGTATAACCTTGAGGAACGATTGTTCCAGCCAGTATAACTCGATTGGTTCATTACGATAGGCAAGCTCGACCACCACGTCAAGGTAGCAGCAACGGTTGGGACTAAACTGATGGAAAGCGTTTCAAAGTGTGTGAATCAAAAGTCACCAAATGAGAAGGCTACGATATGTCTATCAGAATCTTAATGATAAGTCCATATTATTGACCAAGCATTGGTTTCATTTTCTAGGAAGTATACATGTATAAAAATAAATGAATGCATATGGATTTTATTCATTTTAGGCCGACAAACTTCTTCCTTCACCCTTAGTCTTCTTACCTAGTAGCCGGTCAATGGTTTGGATATAAGAATCTTTGTGTATCAGTATCGGTTTCGACACTGCACATCATAACACTAAACATATATGAAATATCTAAACTAATAATACACCAGTCGTCACACAAACATCTTTCAGCTTCGTACAAAATACTTTATTACTAAAACAAATTATATAATATATTGAAATACTGTACGTACTTGAGATTTTACAAAATCTTGAGGTCTTGCATGATGAAATAATAATCCAGTACATGATAATTCCACAGTTCTAAATTGTCGTAATTCTGGAAAGTATGAGGAATTCCATATGGTATATTTATTCTTTAAATATTGCATTTAAATTAGATTTTTTATTAAATAACAAACTATTTAATTATATCTCATATATGATTTTGAGTATCAAAACAAATATAGGCCATCATGCATATACAACAAAATGATTGCACTAAATGTAGGTTACCCTCTACCGAAAATTCAACAGTGATTCACAAATGCATGTTTACTCAATAGAAATTTACGAACAGAAATATTCCTGCTAAGAACAATATAGCCTCCGTTTTATCTCTATACACGATTCATTGTATAGAAATCAACTTAAATGTTTAGAAATTTGGGATTGTAGCCAACGTATAATGATTGTTTAAAGTAAAGGAAAATGATTGGTGCATTTTATATGTTTGAGGCGAACACATAAATTCGTTTTATAACTAATCAATCAAGAAAACTTGATAAACAAATTTACATACAGACTTTAGTGTCTGTCTATTTCTCATCTTTGCAGTCTTAGAGATTTTACTCAAAATATGTTAATAGTAAGGAAAGAAAATGATACTGATAACTGTTTTTGAAACAGCAGTTTTCATTTCATTTTCTCCATGTCTGTCCTTCGTTTAGATAGGGGTACGAGGAATATGAATCTTTGGACAATTTTTGAGTTGGAGTATTCCGTATTCCGTCACATTTACTCCTTCCATTATATTGTACACCTTTTTAAAAAAACCACTGATAATCAAATTATGTAGATTTATACATTGACATACAAACCGATCATCAAAGTCATTTGACAATATACGGTCAACACGGTAAAACTCATCAAATTAGCTATCATTCTTGAGAATTGTGAGTGATATCTGCTCGACTTAAATAAACTGAACATATGTTTTGTAACCGTTTAAATCAATTGAAACAAGTTTATTTCAAAAATCGAATTAGAATATAACATTTTGACACTTGATGTCTTCTAGAAGATTGGTGCCCAGTTCATGTCAAACACGTCGTTTAAACATTTATGAACATTCTTAAGAAGTATAGCATTCTGTTCTAAATATTTCTTTTGTCACTTTCAGAGAGAGGATTCATGATAATCTTAGAGCTGCATTCTTAATCTAGAGGATTTGAAATGCGATAAATATACATAGATGAATTAATGATTTTTCAGTCTAAGAAAAATTTCTGTGTATAATATTTTCCCCAGATGATGCATATCACATAATTCGTTTTCCTACCTTTCTACAACCAACGTAATCTAATTAGAAACCAGTCGTCTTTCTGATACATTCATGTATCGTCACCACTAACAGTACATGAATCTTAGAAATAACATTTATCCACGAGTTATATATCTATTTTCTTAAATAATCAACTCCCATTGTACATCATTAATAATAATTAATACTTTAAGTGAACAAAATAATCTTAAAATTCACTTCAATTTAGAATTTACTTTGTTGATAACCACCAGTATTTTAATCGAAATCTTTTGATTTAAAATGTCCATATTGAAGATAACAACACTATTCGACATGCTTCTTAAAGCTTATTTTACTTCTAATAAATTAACCAACTGGTTTGATAAGCAATGACGGATAATGGCTAGCAGTGGAATCCAGGACGCGCGTTTCGTCCTATTTGAGACGCGTCAGATGGACGTACCTGCACCTCAGAGTTCATTTTCACTCTGAGACTCGAACCCAGTACCATTCGCTTCAAACGCCATCACGTTATCCCTTCAGCTACTGAGTCCTGATAGCCACTTGCTTGTGCAATTGGGTGAATTTAAATTCACTTGGTACTGTTTGGCTTGTATCTTCCCATTGAGGTTTAAGACTGCAATTGAACTGATTTGATTCCTAACGAAAATACTCATGAAGTGACTAAATATTTTAAAAAGGAATCTGATTGCTAGTTATTATTTTTGTTTAATAAAGTGATTAGGTTATTTCATTACAGTAATCTAGTCTCAATAATATATATTAGATTACATAATGAAAATTACCTCTCAAAAAAGAAATCATACCTGTATATTGTACCATTTTGATAATCCAAAATTCACTAAGTTACTATTTTCATTTGATGCATTGAACCTCTGTTACTATTGTCAAATTAATAATACTAGTGAAAACTAACTTGAAGTAATTAAAATAGCCTTGACTAACTTACATTTATAAACATAAAACATCAATACAATAAAAACATGTATTAACTTAAAACGTAAAGACATAAAATCGGGCGTACGATTGCTTTAAACCAATTAAAGTTAATATAATCACATGTGTTTCATCAAAACAAAGGTTATTCACAAACTAATTTTCACGTTTTATAATAAAGACAAAATCAAGTACAATATGATTGTTCAAAATATCACATATAGATTACTTAAACAATTATTGAGTTGAACATAATCAGATCTGTTTGTTTACATGCTCACACATCAACAAGTACAAACTGATTGTTGAAAAATCCTACAATCCTACAGTGTCGAGTCACCTAGACTGGTGGCCACATTGCAACATGATCGATAGCATTCGATCTGCACTAATAAGGACTAGACAAGCATGAGATTGATCAGCACCCAGTGATCAATCAATTGTGACAAAATCAAGTACAATATGATTGTTCAAAATATCACATATAGATTACTTAAACAATTATTGAGTTGAACATAATCAGATCTGTTTGCTTACATGCTCACACATCAACAAGTACAAACTGATTGTTGAAAAATCCTACAATTCATTTGTTCCAGGTCAGATGATAGACGCTTTAATTGAAGTGAACAGATCGATCTATTGTCGATGTGAAAATTTATTGACTGTGATTTCAGGTTGTTCTTCAGATTTCTAAATCACCACCACTAAACTAATTTTCTTTCCAGGTACCTCCAGAAGAACTCTTCAACGGTGTGGGCGACTGTGAAATTATAAGTGCCCTAATACCTTTAACAGCACTCATGATAACTGTATTATTAATTTTCATTATTTTAGTTGTAATCATGAGTTTAAACTGACAAATAGGCTTTACGACTAACAATATTGCTGACATAAAATTTAGGTGATTATTTCGAGTTAATGAATGATATTCATTACTTTTAATCTGCATTCATCAAACAAAGAACATAACAAATGAACTAATCAGTATATTTAGACTATTCATTTTTGTTGTTTGGGTTTCTTCACATCTCATTAATCTCTAATACAATCTTCCTGTGTTTAAAGCAACAATTCATTATCCAAATATTATAGTTAAAACAAAATCATGTACAATATGATTGTTCAAAATATCACATATAGATTACTTAAACAATTATTGAGTTGAACATAATCAGATCTGTTTGCTTACATGCTCACACATCAACAAGTACAAACTGATTGTTGAAAAATCCTACAATTCATTTGTTCCAGGTCAGATGATAGACGCTTTAATTGAAGTGAACAGATCGATCTATTGTCGATGTGAAAATTTATTGACTGTGATTTCAGGTTGTTCTTCAGATTTCTAAATCACCACCACTAAACTAATTTTCTTTCCAGGTACCTCCAGAAGAACTCTTCAACGGTGTGGGCGACTGTGAAATTATAAGTGCCCTAATACCTTTAACAGCACTCATGATAACTGTATTATTAATTTTCATTATTTTAGTTGTAATCATGAGTTTAAACTGACAAATAGGCTTTACGACTAACAATATTGCTGACATAAAATTTAGGTGATTATTTCGAGTTAATGAATGATATTCATTACTTTTAATCTGCATTCATCAAACAAAGAACATAACAAATGAACTAATCAGTATATTTAGACTATTCATTTTTGTTGTTTGGGTTTCTTCACATCTCATTAATCTCTAATACAATCTTCCTGTGTTTAAAGCAACAATTCATTATCCAAATATTATAGTTAAAACAAAATCATGTACAATATGATTGTTCAAAATATCACATATAGATTACTTAAACAATTATTGAGTTGAACATAATCAGATCTGTTTGTTTACATGCTCACACATCAACAAGTACAAACTGATTTTTGAAAAATCCTACAATTCATTTGTTCCAGGTCAGATGATAGACGCTTTAATTGAAGTGAACAGATCGATCTATTGTCGATGTGAAAATTTATTGACTGTGATTTCAGGTTGTTCTTCAGATTTCTAAATCATTTTCATGACTCTCGGTCACCATACAGTCAAAAGATGCTGTCATACAATGTCGTAGCACTCAGTGAATTATAGTTACTAACTACAAATGTCAACCAACTAAGAATCAACAACAATACTACCGACTCTATAAGATCAAACCTCTGTCGATTAGAATCGAGTTGTACAATAGGGTTGTGCAACACAACAAAGAGTAGTAGCCAATGATTGCACCACTCTACAATCTTGAGTTCGTTAATGCATGACCCATTGACAACATTGCAGTCTCATACAATAACAGAATAACAACCGTATGACGAATACTGAATAGAGTCGAATTATAAATTTTCAGTGGAGGAAGATTAATGAATATGAAAATATTGCTGAACAATTCTTGAAAAATAGTTGACATATCCAGTGGTAGAAGGGAGAGATAAATTCAAGAATAAGTAGCCATACTGTCAAATAAGACACTTCAGAAGTGATTTTCAAAAGACTAGTTCTGTTGTACACATGTAAATCATTGTATGTTGTTTCGCATTGTGAGTTGCAATTGGGGAAACCGTAAGGACGTTTGAATTAGTAGATCTGCTTCCGTTGTCAGGATTAACACAGGTCTCTCAGCCTCCTGTTGTTGACGATTGAAACTACTTCGTTTTCAAACATGTATATTCGTACTAGATGCACTACCATGACATTTGGCAATGAATACTGTATCAGTACAACGCAGTTTGACTAAAGGAATGTTACACATAATATAACACTACTAGAGGTCCATTTTTGCTTTCAACAAGTTTAAAACTGATTACAGTCGAATATAGATATTTAAATGTCATCATGATGTTGACCAACTATTCATTTATTCGCTAGAGCACAATTACAAGTATTTATTAATATACTCTGGTGTCAGCATGTAAAAATTGAACCTGAAAATTTCGACAACTCATTTCTGTCAGGTCATGTGAGAGAAGTGTTGCCATAAAATGTAACAGCGATTTAGGCCTATATTAATTTCAAGTTTTTTAGACTGATAATTTGATTATGTATGCAACTCGACGCAGACAGTTTGAAATTAGAATAAATAATATTCACCTTCCATTAACGTTCATTAATTTTTACGAGATATTGCGTGTATGCGTTGAAACATTCAGTAAAGTATCATTATTACACTTTTATGAGGATATTTTATGGAAAGTTCGTTCTTATTAAGAAG